GGCGCAGTCGGTTAAGCGTCCGACTTCAGCCAGGTCACGATCTCGCGGTCCGTGAGTTCGAGCCCCGCGTCGGGCTCTGGGCTGATGGCTCAGAGCCTGGAGCCTGTTTCTGATTCTGTGTCTCCCTCTCTCTCTGCCCCTCGCCCGTTCATGCTGTCTCTCTCTGTCCCAAAAATAAATAAACGTTGGAAAAAAAAAAATTTAAAAAAAAAAAAAAAAAGAGACAAAACAGATGAACATAAGGGAAGGGAAACAAAAATCTTATAAAAACGGGGAGTGGGACAAAACAGAAGAGACTCATAAATATGGAGAACAAACAGAGGGTTACTGGAGGGGGTGTGGGAGGGGGGATGGGCTAAACGGGTAAGGGGCATTAAGGAATCTACTCCTGAAATCATTGTTGCACTATATGCTAACTAATCTGGATGTAAATTTAAAAATATATAAAATTAAATAAATTTTTTAAAAAAAGAACCAAGAAATGCCTCTTAAAATGAGTACAATTTTGAAGACCTTCTCCCAACCAGAAAAAAAAAAAAAAAAACCTAAGCATGAACTGGAATTCTAGATTTAGTAAGACTGATTGCATGAAACATGAATAAATTACACTTCTTTACAAGAGCCAAACTGAACAGAATTTGTTATTGAATCCAGTTGCTAAGGACTTAAGAAACTGAATACCTACAGAACTCCTATATCTTAGATATTTCTGGAGAAAGCTGGAACCTAATACAGCTACAAATAAGAAATACAGTAACCAAATTATAGAACATCGCTCAATTTTATGGTGGGATTTACAACATGAGGAAAAAACTAACTGATTTGTTGGAGGGTTAGGGGATGGATGTGGAAAGGTATGCAGAGTTAAACCACAGATTGTAAGGAAAAAATGGCTTCAATTCGTTCTCTTCTGCTAAGATGAAATGAAAATAAGAAGCAGATGTCAAAACTGCAACCACGTGATATTATTCACATTACAGCCACAGCAGTGATACGCCATTCTTCCTTCTGAAGGTGACCACGTGCTTTGTTTTACACTAAGGAAATCAGACATGTGAAAGCCAACTTCTGCTTTTAAAATACTGCCATAAAGTTAAGAGCCAGGCCAAGGTATCCTATGAGAATATCCTAATCAGCAAGCCCAAAAGGAGAAGAAGATTTCTTAACTGCTCCTTTCACAACAACTTCCTTAAGCTCTGAGTCACATTTCTGGAGTCCCTCAAATTATTCTGACTCAAGTATGTTTATCATCCTCGGCTCATGTGCCTACCGACTTTGCACCTTATTAGTTGCCACAGTCAACAAGTCAGAAAGTCTGAGTGTTTCAACTTGTTTGGGAAACTGTTTTCTCGACCGAAATTTTTAAAAATCTCCAAAGGAATTTTTTAAACATCATGCCTTCAGAAAGTAACCTTTCCTTTCTCTGCTACCACAGACTTCCTGTACTTTTCATAAGATCATTTCCATATTGTGGTACTTCTTCCACCGTGCGGTCATCCGACAACTTGTTCTAGGTCTACACCTATCCTCCAGTACCCTGCAAGCTGCTTTAAGGTCAAACGTGAAGCTGCATAAATCTGAATATTCAAGGTCAACCACCACAGCATCTCCTATGAAAGCAGGCTTTCAAAGATGTTTTGATGTCCTGTACAGGGGCTGGATCAGTAACCTAAATGCGTGCAGTAGGCCTCAGGGTCTAGCAATACGATATGGAGTTGTGAAAACTGTGGCAAACTGGAGAATTTGTGCTCCACGGAAAGCAGGAGTTGCTACTCGGATGAGTTCTGCAGTTTGCCAAGCAAGGATTCAGGTCTGATGTTGCCAGATGTTCTATTTTCTCAAGACAAACTAGATATTTAGATGACATTTAGATATCTATATGAATTCACCCAATTTTTACACATTGACTAAAAAAACTGTAAACCCTGTGTGGGCTAAAGGAAATCCACATGTGAATCAACTTTGCCCTGCAGGCCACCAATTTTCAACGTTATGCTGTATCATGGCAGCCTTCTCTGGGCCTCTAACTCCTTCTGCCTTATTTACCAGTTCCTTTTCCACCTCGTGTCCCTCACTTGTGGAACTAGACTTTCCTGATATTCCTTCTGGATGTGCTTTCTCTCTCTCCCCTGAACCCCACTGCACTTTGCTTTTATAGCTTTCTATTGTGCTTATCTATGTTGTCTTATACATTTAACTATGTATATATCCTGTGCCTCCCACAAGAAAATGTGTTCCTTAAGTCACTTATTATCTTTTTTAATGTTTATTTATTTTTTTGAGATGGGGAGAGAGAGAGTGGGAGAAAGGCAGAGAGACAGGGGGAAAAAGAAAAAATCCCAAGCAGGCTCCATGCTGTCGGCACAGAGCCCTATGCAGGGCTCGATACCATGAACCGTGAGATCATGACCTGAGCCGAAATCAAGAGTCAGACACTTAACCGACTGAGCCACCCAGGCACCCCAAGTCACTTATTATTATAACAATAACATCACCGGTTGAGTTTTGTGTCTGACACGCACTAAGTAAGCACTTTCCACAAATCAACTCATCCACCCTTTCAAAGAGCCCTAATATGTAAGTGAGGAATCATTAAATTCAACTCCTGAAATCAATACCACACTGTAAGTTAATTAACTTGAACTTGAATAAAATGTTGGAAGGAAAAAAAATTTTTAATAAAAAATAGTAAAAGATAAAAGAGCCCTAAAGAATATTATTACTGGGGCACCTGGGTGGCTCAGTCGGTTAAGCGGCCGACTTCGGCTCAGGTCATGATCTCGCTGTCCTTGAGTTCGAGCCCCGTGTCGGGCTCTGTGCTGACAGCTCAGAGCCTGGAGCCTGTTTTGGATTCTGTGTCTCCCTCTCTCTGACCCTCCCCCGTTCATGCTCTGTCTCTCTCTGTCTCAAAAATAAATAAACGTTAAAAAAAACTTTTTTTTTAAAAGAATATTATTACTATTTTATAAATAGAGAAACTAGGGTTCAGGGTGCTTCTAATTAATGCCCAAGTCCTCAGAACCAGTAAGTGGAAGTGAACTCAAACCAGAACTCAAAGTGAGGCTTTTTGACTCACTGGCCTGACTTGTCTTTCAGCACCCTACAATTCCTACCCAGTAAGCACTTGATTAATATTGTTGAATCAATTGCTGAAAACCAGAATTCACATTCTACTTAAAAGACATTCTTTCATAAGGAGCATGAAGAAAAATTACTGATGAGTTAATGGTTTGCAGAAGGGTTAAAAATAAAAATAATATGAATATGTGCTATGAATATTTGTGGTTCAGCAACAGATTGGAGCCCATTCATCAACTGCACAGATACGCAAGGTTTAACCAAGATACTTTTCAGTGTATTTATCCAAAAAGAATTCCAATCCAAAAATAATATCTGCAAAATAATTTGCCATGTTAGCATTTCTGGCTTGAAAATTCAATGTGCAGTGCTGGCTTTAGTTAGAAATGAGGAAACGCCAAGAAGAAATTGAACAAAAGATTTAAAGAGTTTTTTTTTTTTTTTTTTGCATTCAAGAGGCATTAATTATTTCTTTTCATCAAATACGATGTTACATTTCTGTTTCTGCATCCAATGGGAATCTCAAAATGCGGTTTTCTCTTTTCTCACTAAAACTATGTTGTCTCACATAAAAATATATTATCTCAGTACGTGACAACTAAGTAACATACTGGTTTTCCCTTTTAGTATTTAAAAAAAAAATTTTTATCTGAACTATAAATGTGAATTCTGAAAGTATGATTTCAATGATGATGACAGAATCTCACCATAGTCGCTTTATTGAAATCCTAAAGGCTAAACAGATTTCTGAATTCTCAGTCTCTCTTTAAAGAATGACGTTTGAGGGGCGCCTGGGTGGCGCAGTCGGTTAAGCGTCCGACTTCAGCCAGGTCACGATCTCGCGGTCCGTGAGTTCGAGCCCCGCGTCAGGCTCTGGGCTGATGGCTCGGAGCCTGGAGCCTGTTTCCGATTCTGTGTCTCCCTCTCTCTCTGCCCCTCCCCCATTCATGCTCTGTCTCTCTCTGTTCCAAAAATAAATAAATGTTGAAAAAAAAATTAAAAAAAAAAAAAAGAATGATGTTTGATCACCATTAAAAAGGTATTTTCTGTCTTTAGAGTCACTATTCAGCTTTGAGATCTCAGATACTCTTAAAATCCAACAACATAATAACAAAAAAAAATCAGGTGTAACGCAAAAAGAACAAAGAGTATCCCGGAACAATTTTATTTCCACCTCTTGGCTTCCTCCCTTTGGGAAATGGCACCTAGTAACTTAAATAAATTAGCAGTGCAACTAATGTCAAAGTCCTGGGGTGCATTTGAGTAGGGACAGAGATTCCAATGCTCTGTTTTCCGCTTTTACCCCAATCCAGAAACGAGTGGTTTCTGCTACCACCACTCTTGCTGTGTAAAGGGCTCAGAAGCAGCTGTGCCCAGGCCTTGCCAACATGACCTAAGGAAGCCAAGATGGCTCCATAAAGGTTTTGCCAGTGACCAAGCGCGAAGATATTCTTCACAATATCTTAACACTCCTCTTTCCCTTTGAAGCAGTTTCAACTGGCCCAAAGCCAGAACCCCAACCTTCAGTTGATGGCTTAAAGACTCAATACAAAGGAGAATTATTACCTATAGAATATTTATTTTTAAGCCTTTTTTAGGAACAAAAAAAAATCACATGCATCTAAGATTGTACAGAAAACGATTCGGTGAAACGTCTACAAAACTGGTAGAGGGTTAACGGAATAACAAAAGGCTGGCCATTTTCTGTTGAGGTGAAAACTACCACCCAATCCTGAACCAGATCCCACGAAGTATTGAGATATGGGGGTGAAAAAAAAGAATTTTCTTTTTGCAAAGCTGCCATTACTCTTCTGTTTTTCTAAACAGAAAACTGTAAAAGAGTATTTCAGAAACTCTCCAGGGAGGAAACATGTTCCTTTCAAAATCCTCACAGGAGAGAAGTCATCAGCATGGTGAGAGCTTCACTGCTTGATGTGAAACTCAAAGAGCTGGAAGAATATGGCAGCATCAGGGACAAACGGCTGCCATTGCTGATACTTTGAACCAGAGGAATTAAGAGAAATAGAGGATGAATGAGTGCTTTACTGATTTTCTTCCCTATCCTGTCTCCTCATCGTGATCGAGAATTAGCTTAAATCATAAAGATGTAATAACAGTAAAACAAATACTTCCTAAGTGACCCTTCCCAGTAAATTATCAACTGAAAGAAAAATGAAGAGAAAGGGAAGTCACCAAAGGAAAACACGCACAACGCACGCGCTTAAGGAAATTACTATCATTGCACTCGGAGTTGTGAAAAAAACAACTGGGAAGAAACCTCTTTAGTTAACAAGCAAATTGTCAGATTATGTGAACTAGCTTTAACACACGAACCTGAATAGTCTGTGCATCCTTAAATTAAATCTACCTGATCGCTGTGGTTTCCATGTCTTGGAGAAAAGTCGGAAGTTGTTGGTGAGGCTGCAGAAAGTTCCTGGAGCTTTGTGTCGATTTCGGCAAGCTGCTGGTGCTGGGTGACTGCAAATGTGTATCCTTCTCCTGGGACCAGCCAGCCAGACTGATCGCCCTAAAAGGAAACAAGAGTCACCGGGTCATTCCCATGCTACACTTTTTCCAAAATATCCCTTTCAGACTGCTACATCAATGCTCAGGACTTCACACACACATACACAAACACACACACACACAAACACACACATTACAAAAAACCCACAAAATTAACATTGGGATAGTGAAAGAAAAAAATTAGTAGTTTATTGTTTCATTATCTGCCAAATCTGTATAAAGTATATTCTACATTGTGTGGGGTTTTTTTTCCCCCTGTGGAATAAATCTCTTGGCCTTGCAGTCTGTTTCTTATAACATTCTCATTTCTCCATTTTGAAAAAGTAGTCTGTGATATGTTAAATAGGAATAAATCATGTTTACCCTATAATCGACATGGTATTTTCAAGATTTGTCCCTGAAAAGTAACATAGGGTCTATAAATGCAGTTGTTTGGATTTCACGAGCCTATTTATCATCTAACTCCTTATTCAACTAATATTCATGTCATAATGGGTTAAAACCCACCCACAACATTCACTCAAACATCTTGTGCTCAGTGCCCACTGAACATAGACACTGCACTGGGCACTGGTGATTCAGTAGGAATCTCACAAGCTCTGCCCTTAGGGAGTTCTCAGTCTTCTGGTAGCAAAGATTTTAACAAGGTATGAAGAGTGCTGGTAAGCCAAGGCGCCATGGGGACCAGTGAGGGTCAACTAACCTTTATGGACATGAAGGAGCAAGAGAGACAAAGTGGTTGGAGAAGGCTTCCTGGAGGAGATAATCAATCTTAATCACATCTTAATCAAGGAAACAACATGGCTGGCTATGCATTTTAAAACTGGAACTTGCACGGGCAAGACTGGAAACAGAAAACCCAGTTAAGAAGCAAAAGCCATAATCTGGAACAAAAGTGATGAGCTGCTAAACTAAGGAATATCTCCTGGGAATACAGAACATAGAGCAGATTCCAGAGATACTTACAAAGTAGAAATTACAGAATCTGGAGATAATTTGATGGAAGCGTGGAAGGAGGAGTAAGGATCAAAGATAAAAACCAAATTCTGGATTTTCAGAACTAGGGGTATAGTGGTCCTATTGACCAAGCTAGGGAATACAGGAGACATAATAGGTTTGAGGAAGAAAATGGTGAATTCTGTTTGAGACCTTCTGATATTTACAGATGTCCCTAGGATATCCACAGATTATGTTAGGTAGTTAAATATATCAAAATAGAGACGTAGATTGTATATAAATATTTTAGACTCACCCACCGATCTATAGTGGTTCAAACTGTTGAACCATGGGAATGGGTGAGGCCACACAGAGAAACATGTAATACAAGGACAGAAAAATCATGAAAACACTAGGAATAAAGGGGCAAGTGGAGGGTAAGGAAGGTTAAGAATTTCATACACTTTGGTTTCATGACTCTAATACCAGGAATCAATCCCTAGGCAGTAATCAGAAGAGATACAGGCAAAAACTTATGCAGAAAGAATTACATGTCTCCCCCTGACCCCAGCATCCAATGTCCCTTCCTGTTTCGGTGAAACCAAACACTGCATGAGACTTGGTAGGAGACAAAGCCTCATCACACACCCCTTCTCCTCACCCACTGGCATCAAGAAGACAAGCAAATGACCTAGAATCAGCCGACCAGAAGCGAATGCCCTGGACTTGGACTCCCGAGGGAGAGAGAGAGACAGAGATGCAAAGATACAGGGGAAGTGAGGCAGTGATTGATGGTGACAGCAGTGACCTGGAGGACCCAGTGTTGATAGCAGTGAGGGTGGCAATGGTGATCATCTAGCAGGGGTGTCTCATGGCTGTGAGGCAGCTCCTAACCAGCCTGTTTCCAAGGAGTTTCTGAAGCCATGTTTCTGGGGTACCTTGATATCTGCCCGGGTTAGAGATGTGTTTCTCCAAACTTCCCACCGAGTCTGTGGGCTATCCAAGTTTCCCAATACATTTATTCCTTTTTTTTTTTTCAACGAAGTCCATCTCTGTCCCTCGCAACCCAGAACATGGACTCAAATGCTTTTTGGCATGTCATTTACAATAAAGAACAATTGCAAAAGTCCCAAATGTCTAAAAATAGGGAAAAGTGAATAGATTGTAGTCTATCCATACAAGGATATGATACAGTAATAAACATTTTAAATACACTTATAAGTTGGGATATGAAAGCTATACATAATTATAAGAAAATATATTACTTAATTGGTCACAAATAAGAAACTTCAGTTAATTCTTCCTAAATAAAAGGGATACAAATACTGTACGATCTAAGTGAGAAATAATAGGGAGTCACAAAAAAATAAAACTATGGAACCAATGACTAAACATTGGTCAATAAATTTTAAATTCTTGTTTGAATGGAATTCTTTTTTAATGACACTGGGAATAAAAAGGATGTCAGATTAAATTCAACAGAAATGTAAATGTTTCATGCACTATGCTGTTACAGAGGGAAATTATATGTAATATGTAGTAGATGGCATCATGTTTTTCCATCTAGCACTTTCTAGGCACCCTTGCTAGGTGTGGGAAATTTCAAGCTTTTAGAAGTCTTACCTCCCTAAGACAGAACCCAGAAAATGCTCTTAACCACCTTCCTTTACAGCGAGGGGCTCAGGTTTATAACCAAGGATCTACAACTGAACTCACACATTCAATACTGATTTAGATAGGAGTAATTTGAGATATGATGTAAAACCCATTTTGGCAGTAGAGACATTTGGTTTTGTGCCATTCATTGCAAGGATAAATTCCTAATACAGAAGGAAATCTTTTAAAAATTTTAAGTATCCTAGAGAGATTCAAGAGAATATCTCACCAACACAATTAAACATGCCACTATAAAGAACCACCCAAGGGCAAGAGGTCTGGAGAATTAAAACATAATTATCACCCTAGTCATCATCTTTCAGGTGCATCGGCTTATCAGAGATGGGGGAACAAAGAAAAGGACACACAGTGTCAAAGATACAGCAAATCTGAGGAAGGGCAAGAAGTTTGGTATGGTTTAAGAATATCGTAGATGGATCCCTTCCTCAAAGTGTTCCTAAATTCTTCCTGCCACACTTCCTAACTTCTTCCTCTGAATCTGCTTCAACATGTGCCACAATCTATCTGGTTTTATAAAATTGCTGTATAAAATGTCTATCCCTGACACCAGATAATAAGACGCCACCTTTCCCCTCAGATGATGCACAGAAAAAACTCTCAGCAAATATTAGTTTACAAAACAAAAAAACTGTAAAAATAAGAACAATCTCAAAAGAGGGCTACATAGCTAAATAGCAGAATAGACGTGGTTGAAACCCAACTTGGAAAACTATGAAGTGAGCTTATATAAGCAAAATGACAAAAAAAAAGATGAAGGTTATGAGAAACATATTATTGGACCTGGAGGAGAGATAGAGGAGGTTCTCTCCCCACCTATATGCTTGTACACTGACTGATCTGATCCCCTTTTCCAATTTCCTTTTTCTGTGCCTTTCTCTGCTATTAAAATAAGAATAAGAAAGTAAGATACCGGAATGCCCAGTCTCACTTGCAGTGATGCATGAAATGAACGTGGCTACATGACACATCTTGGCTGATGAGCCACAGGTGGAAGTCCCAGGGACACCATCCCTTCCCAAATGAAACGCAAAGCCTCAAAGGACTGTCCCTTTTCCCCTTCCCCCTTCCCTCTTCTTTCTGCCTGGAAAACGGATACATTATCTACAGATATAGCAGCAATCTTGCAAACCTAAACACAAAACCATACCAAGAATACAGAACAGGAATAAAGAAAGACACTAGCTACTTACACCTGGAGCAAAATTGTTACTGAAGCAAAATACAGTCTTTACTTGCTTTTTTTAAAAAAATTTTTAATGTTTATTTATTCTTGCAAGAAAGAGACAGAGTGTGAGCGGTGAAGGACACTCAGTCAGTTGAGTGTCTGACTTCGGCTCGGGTCATGATCTCATGGTTCATTGGGTTCGAGCCCCACGTCAGGCTCTGTGCTGACAGCTCAGAGTCTGGAGGCTGCTTCCGATTCTGTGTCTCCCTCTCTTTTTGCCCCTCCCCTGCTCTTGCTCTGTCTCTCTCTCTCTCTCCCTGTCAAAAGTAAATAAACATTAAAAGAATTTAAGAAGTTATTGGATGTAACAATAATTTGCTAAAAACAAACAAACAAAAAAAAGAAATAGGAATTTTTCAAACCATGAGAGGAAAATGGGGAGAAATTAAGAAAACAAAATAAATCTAATCAATGAAATGTCAAATAGGCTGTCCAAAAAAGGCCCAAACATTATCAGTGGTCATAATAAACATATAAATTAAATATCCTCATTAAAAGATTAAGAATAAGGAAATAATAACAAAAGATAGAGAAACAATTACGGACACAACAGCAACAACAAAAACCCAGCTGTACGATAATTTGTAAATAATCTACCTAAAAACAGAAGTAAATGATAGAAAAAGAGTTTAAGGGGCTCCTGGGTGGCTCAGTCAGTTAAGCTTTTGACATCAGCTCACGTCATGATCTCACGGTCACGGGTTCGAGCCCCGCATCGGGTTCTGTGCTGACAGCTCAGAGCCTGAAGCCTGCTTTGGATTCTGTGTCTCCCTCTCTCTCTCGGCCCCTCCCCTGCTCCTACTCTGTCTCTCTCTCTCTCTCAAAAATAAATAAACATTAAAAAAAAATTTAATAAAGGAGGGACAAGGCATAAATACTAACAGAAATAATATTTAAAAGGCAACATTAGGGGCGCCTGGGTGGCGCAGTCGGTTAAGTGTCCGACTTCAGCCAGGTCACGATCTCGCGGTCCGTGAGTTCGAGCCCCGCGTCAGGCTCTGGGCTGATGGCTCGGAGCCTGGAGCCTGTTTCCGATTCTGTGTCTCCCTCTCTCTCTGCCCCTCCTCCATTCATACTCTGTCTCTCTCTGTCCCCCAAAAAATAAATAAACGTTGAAAAAAAAAATTTAAAAAAAAATAAATAAATAAAAGGCAACATTAATAATAAAAATTTTGTTAAATCATTTCTAGGAAGAAACATGGCACACCCCACCCCCCACCAGCCACAGGCATTGCTGCAATTGAGCAGTTTTTGGACCTAGAGTCAAAACTACCCTCTGCACCTACCTCTCTGAGGTTGGTCTAGATGCAGAACCTGAGCTAGGGATTCTGGTTCAGGTGACTTGTTGAGGGAGTGCTCTCAGAAGAGAGGGTGACTGGAGTTCTCCCAGGAGAACTCCACCTCAGGAGAAGGGATAGGGGATGATGGAAGCAGGCTAGGACAAGAGAAACAAAACCAGGCAAGGAGGTGGTGTCGGATGAAGCCCAGCTGACCCCTGGGGAAGCTCTGAGGGACAAACTGCAGCACAGAGCTAATCCCATCTTGAGTTGGGAGGGGGTGGAGATGGAGAGAGGCTGCCATCCTAGGCAGTTCAGCCCCCAACTAGCCCATGGCAATACTCTATGGAAAAAGGCAGCTATGCACCCTTGGCACAGGGCAGGGGGCCGGATGCACGGAAGGGACTAGGTAAAAGGGATCTGGGCAGGGTGCCAGCAGCACTCACTACACCTCACCTCCAAAAACATAGGGAAAGAAGAACTAGATGACAGGGCTATGGGCTTCAAGGTACACAGGAGAATACATTTCTTTGTGGAAGTAAAGAATCTTGCTGTAAGTTTAGTATGCAAACAAGTGCAAACGCTGAGCCACCGCACCCCTTAGATGACCAGCCCAAGCCCTATAAACACCCACACCTGCACCCTGGATTGCAGGCTGTTCCCCTCCTTGGACTGAGTCTGTGCTTCCTCCAGACCCTTCAGGGACCTGGATGCTCAAGGTTAACTGGGCAGGAGCATGATGGTGCTCTTTAAGAGTCCTGAGGACTACACCAGTGTAGGGATAATAAGAAATATTCAAAATAAAAAGAGACAGGGAAACATATTTATATGTCATTAATGACTAAGCCCATTACATCACAGGTAGCAGTTATAACTGTGAGAGCTAATGTGTAGTGACTCTTATAATAACATAAAATAATCCTCTTCAGAGTCAGTAATGAATTGACCAAGAAAAAAATCTGAAAATTTTAATGAAAATAAATTTGTAAAACACGATTTTTTAAAAGACAGAGAACATTGCCCCATAATTTAAAAACTTATTGTAAATGTGTGCTAATGTCAGTGACATGATAAAGAAAATAAATAAAAATTAAGAAGCGTAGAGGTCTCCCATCCAAGTACTAACCAGGCCAGACCCTGTTTAGCTTCAGAGATCGGACGAAATCAGGCACGTTCTTGCAGTGGATGGAACTAGAGTGTATTACGCTAAGTGAACAAGTCAGAGAAAGACAAATACCATATGATTTCATTCATATGTGGAATTTAAGAAACAAAGCAAATGAACGTAAGGGGGGAAAGAGAAGGCAAACCATAAAACAGGCTCTTAACTATAGAGAACAAACTGAGGGTTGCTGGAAGGGAGGGGGTCAGGGGGAGGGGTTATACAGGTGATGGGGATTAAGTAGGGCACTTGTGATGAGCACTGGGTGATGTAGGGAAGTGCTGAATCACTACATTCTACACCTGAAACTATATTACACTGTATGTTAACTGGAATTTAAATAAAAAATTGAAACTACAAAAAAAAAAAAGGAAAAGAAGAAAAAAAAAACAAGAAGGAGAAGGAGAAGAAGGAGAAGGGTAGAAGTCACTGAATATCAGAGCTTACGTACCTCAGGACTGGACAGCCCCGAATCTTTGTCATCTAAGTCCTTCAAAAGTTCAGTCAGCCTTTTCTTCTCTCTGTCAATCATAAGCACTGGCATTCCTGAATCCTTAGCCAACTATAGAATGTATTAATAAAAAAAAAAAAAAGTAAATATTCAAAGCAATTCATGTTCAGGAAAATAAAAGTGGGCCCTGAGGTTTCTATAGTACAGACACATTAAGGTAAAAGTTGTGAGATTAGGCATTTTTCACTTGTGACGTACATTCCAGCTGTAAGCAGGCCCTCATGTTAGCCATTTCAACAACACTTTATTTAAATATAAAACAATAAAACATGGGAAGTTTGCAAATCTCTCGTTATATATCAATGTAATAACTTATCTGCTGAGGTATTTGGAAGGATCTTGCCACTTCCTATGTGGCATATATCTACTGACTGAAACTGCTTTTATTTATTTGTTTTTATCTGTGATTTTTAATTATCTTAAGCCTTACTACATAATTTACACATGTGTGCTGATGGCATATGTCCTCTACTCTAATCCTTCTAATGAGCTGGCAAAAGCACCATTAGCAGTCACACATATGTGGTATTTCTACAGTTGCATTATTGAAGGGCTGTTTAAAAGACAATCCTGAATTATAACTTTGACTGAGTGAAGAATTCGCAAGCAAAGTTCGCTACTATAGTGTGACAGGTCACGCTAAATTTTAAAAATATCTGGCCTTACAGCTCATCTATAAAACGTGAGAAGTGTTACATATTCTTTGTTTGGTATTATACATAAGCCACATGAAAATGTGTTTAATTAAGCAAAAGGTAGCATTTATTTTTTATTTTTTTTTTAATTTTTTTTTCAACGTTTTTATTTATTTTTGGGACAGAGAGAGACAGAGCATGAACGGGGGAGGGGCAGAGAGAGAGGGAGACACAGAATCGGAAGCAGGCTCCAGGCTCCGAGCCATCAGCCCAGAGCCCGACGTGGGGCTCGAACTCACGGACCGGGAGATCGTGACCTGGCTGAAGCCGGACGCTTAACCGACGGCGCCACCCAGGCGCCCCAAAAGGTAGCATTTTAGACGCCGTGAACTTTAATTAAATCGGCAGTTAGGACCAAAAGGATAAAGTGGATGTTGCCAGCTTCAGCCCTGGCCTTTTACAGGCTAACTAACACAACATTAAAACCCAGCTGAGTCTTGCTGTTTGTTGGGAGAGTAAAGGGATTTCCTCAGTATTTACATAAATATAACAAGTTATATAATTCTAAGTATTAAACCCATCTCCTACCGGTTTACAGATGGCAGTTACCATCTCTGTGAAAAGTTGAACATTACCAATCGATTCCAACCCTATCTTTCAAGGGGGAAACCAGGGACAGCACTGGTAAGTCTGGTAATTCTGAACCAGGATTACTATCCGAGTTCAAAAAGCTGATCAGATTCACTTAACCACAAGCCAATCGTACTTAAATCAGGACTGTCCAAAAGGAATAGTCCGTCAGCCATTCCTGATCCAAATTCTGGTGTCTGAGATCAATTTAAATATGGTACACATATGGGGCGCCTGGGTGGCGCCGTCGGTTAAGCGTCCGACTTCAGCCAGGTCACGATCTCGCGGTCCGTGAGTTCGAGCCCCGCGTCGGGCTCTGGGCTGATGGCTGGGAGCCTGGAGCCTGTTTCCGATTCTGTGTCTCCTTCTCTCTCTGCCCCTCGCCCGTTCATGCTCTGTCTCTCTCTGTCCCAAAAATAAATAAACGTTGAAAAAAAATTTAAAAAAAAATAATAAATAAATAAATAAATAAATAAATAAATATGGTACACATAAAAGAAGTCATGAGACATTTGGTTCTGTAATAAATAAGCGGTGGCCAACGATTACTCCTTAGTAGCTTTTTTGAGATAAACTATCAAGTCTGTCCTCGCCCTTTGTCTTCTTAAAGCCAGCGAAGATCAGTTTTCTTCCAGGGATGTACTTCTTGGGATTCTCCAACTACTCCATCAGTGTCTCCTCTCCCTAGGTGATGTCTTTATTCTTGTTGGCATCCGTGTAAGAAACTCCAGGGGCCTGACTTGTCTCTCACCCACACAGACCATGGGCCCTTGTCTCATTCTTGTGCGTCCCTCCCCTTTCCATGGTATGGCACTAGGCACGCTACTGAACAAAGTTCTTCTTGCCCTACGCAACATCATGCATCGTAAAGTCACTCTTTCGTCGCACCCAAAAAGAAGTGCCCGCTTGCAAGCTGCACATCCTGCTGTCTCCTAAATGAAATTGCTTTGACATTTCAAGAGCGTCATATAGGAAATTTGAACAAAGATTCAGCGACTGTTGTTAAAAGGGGAAATGGGAAATCTATGCGGGGGGGGGGGGGGGGGGGGG